GTATACGTTGCCCAGGATGCACCACGTGGAGGTTAGTCTACCGCACACCCCACTTTAAGGAAAGGTCAAATTCAATAATTTATAAGAATTCCAAAGTCCACTTTGAAGAGGGTTTTCCAAAACCTATCTTGGAGAAAGAGGGGTATTCGATAGACTTACCTCCACGTGTTGCACACTGGGCAACGTATAGTCATACGGATAAAAAGTCTATTAACCGCCAGTTGACTTCTCACTTCAAACTACAATGGCCCGACTGCTTATCGTATTCGACCCCTTTCACAGTACTCGTTTTGCCTTTTTCTCCATCTTTGTGTCTGTCTGCCTCTTTTACATCTGTGAATCGCTCTTCTGTTCCCCAACCCATCGACTTTATTTTACTTTGATGAATCTTCCCTCTGTGAAGCCTGATGTCAGCTAAATGGCTAATGATGACTATCAAAACGCCTGCCATTTGAAATAAATAAATCTTGGAGAAAGATAGAGGGAGGGAGAGAGAGAGCGTAGTACCATGGAGCTTCCAGAATGAGGGGCAATCGAATTCTCTCCCCTCCCCCTCTAGATTAGCCGTACTTAATCAATGGCGTTTGGACTTACCGTTCACTGTATGGGCGCGCCAATGGGAATGAAATCCGTGAACTGTGTTACAACAGGCGTACACGTTGATCAATGCCCCTTAAACCCCTAATCTAATTAATTTGACAGCAAAGTAGGGTCACCTTACTCGAGTATCATTTTTCACGGGTTTTGTCATTCTTTTAGTATGATCTTCACTATTCAGAGTTTCCAAGTGAGCTGAAGCTACGATGTCCAGTGCTGATTGGCTATTTGATATTAGTTCTGACGTTTTTTAAATACAACGCAGATGTCACAGATTTCTTCATCATCAGGATCACGGGTCGAGTAAAAAAATGATTCCCTCTGGCAATACAGGCTTTTTCTTATCACATTGTTCACACAGTCTTTATGGAAAACAAATTAGCCTTGATGCCACGCCTATTTGGATGAGATTGGAATCTAACCATAGAGCTTGAATGTGTCGGTTTCTAATACTAATCTACTCCTCTTGCCATCAATTTGCATTCCTTCCCTTTGCATTTTAGAGCGCCATTTTGAGTTGGATTGAGTTCGTCTCTCAAATCTATCGACACCTACCTCCCTCAGTGACATGGGTTCGACATATCACAGGAAATCAAACTAGCTCACTCAGTTTTCGCATCTTTTTCTGCTTGTTCTACATTCTTCTAAAAGTGAGTTCACTTTTTTTGCGTGGATATTAGATTTCGAATTTTTTAATATCATGTATCCGGCTGAACAGAAATTAGGTATCTTGCAGTTCTTGGATTACTATTAGAATGAAGATAGAATGAAATTGGAAATCTGAGTACTCTCAAACCTATTTAAAAAGGTGTTTTCAATGCCCCGCACGGATATAGGAGTGACATGGAGTCTTCCTGATGATAAACTCAAATTCTCTACCCTTATTAATTTGATTTTTCCGAGCGCTGGATTTTAGTGGCGGCTGGCTGTTCTAATTGTCAGATTACTGTCCCATTAATTTCATTAATTTGATGTAAGTTGAGCAGGCGAATGGATGGCTTTCGAAGCGCAGATAGAAGAAAACAACAACGTGTTAAGGTTTTGGTTCTGAAACCAAATACATCCACATCTGGATTTGCAATTTACTCAAAATAATGCACGAGGGGTTTCCGATCTGTCGGTGCATAAATTTGAAGAATGGAATGCTACTTAAGCGAACTTCAAGTACCAATAAAGCGACTCCATGATCCCTAGCAGATAACCCTCCGCAGAGGTAAAAGTCTTCCTAAGTTGGGAAGAAATGAGTGAATGGGAGAGAGAGACGGAGAGAGGGAAGGTGAGTAGTAAGAAGAGGAGTGGGAATTGAAATGGAAAATAGTTTGTAGTCAACAGCAGACAACCACATTCCCAATTTGAGTCATGACAAATCGGAAAGTTGTGAAGAGAGCCCTAAGGGAGATTGGAACAGAGAGGAGGAGGACTGAGGGAGGAGAGAGAACAGTCTCTGGTAGATGATTGGCAAACACGTGAACGTGTGTGTGTATGCGCGCGCTTTAAAAGGGACTTCATATCGTTTCATCGTGAATGCCACCTTGATTAAAACAGAAATTGCTCTGCAAAAAGGCAATGAGGGAAACAAGATGACGAGGACGAATAAAATTGTCAAATGTCAAGTAAAAGCTGTTTACTTTCACCCTAAAATCCCACCAGAAGGAGGGAATTCCCCCCCCCCTCCCTCCCTCCCTCTCCTAAAAAATGGAAACAAAGGCATTATTTGTATATTGCCATTATAAATATGTTAAACGCACTAATTGATCTAAATTGTCAAAGTGATGCAATTTTTGTTTAATAAAATACAAAATCCCTAATTGGAGTCATGGAAAGCGTGCAAGGTCTGTATTAAACTCTTTAATGCAGTCAAGAGCGCTGATTAATGAGCTTATTTCCAAAGCAAATGAAATGTGCCTAACAGGAGAGGAATGATCCTATTTGGTTATTCATTTCCCACCACTAATTAGTTACCTAGCTTTAAATTACTAAATAATTTCCAAAATGCGCATTTGTAATCCAAAAATTCGTCAAGTCATTCTTTCAATTGTGCGAAGTATACTAAAATGTCGTTCAGTTTTTTTCAGGAATCATTTTTGTTTTTTCTTCCTTTTTTTCTCTTCAATTCTCACCTACGAATTGCCATCTCCCGTTATCGATTCCTTCATCATCTTCTCCAAATATAGGCCATTGCTATAGGCACAGTTATCGTCTCCTTTTGGCCAATCTTTAAACCGCGAACATTTTCTCTGGTAGGTGTGCTCTATATCTCGGCCAATAAATTGCGTTGATGTGTGCTCTACTTCCGGCAGGTATTTATGCTTCCATTTTCCGGCATTTTTGTAGCCTTATCAGACCAATTTCGTCAGCTCGAGGGAAGAGGAGACGGGTTTATGTCCGCTTTGCTTGGAGAAACCAAGCCCCGACTTGGCAATTCTAGGCTGCAATGTGAGCACTTTCCTTTCCTTTCCTACTTTTGAGGTTTCCCCCCAATGGAGGCACCCTTGAATAAGCCTTAACTAACTATAGGGAAAGTGGTGCCGATGAAGTCAAATTCCCTTCTTAGCATTTTTATGAGTGTGTGATATTTAGGGTTTCAGAAATTTCACCTTCAGTCTTGGTGTAGTTGAAGGCGCTTTAGTTGAACACATTAGAGGCATGAATTGAAAACCCCCTCTCCTCTTCCTTTCTGCTTTCAGCACACATTTTGTCGGGATTGCATGGACCGCTGGTTGATACAAGGCAGCGAGTGTCCTCTCTGCTCCCGTCCCTTGGGCGAAGAGTTCATCACTTGGCGAGATGGATCCACTTCATGTCTTGTCTACTTCTTCTAGTCTCCTTCTTTTGGTAAAATATTTCCACTCTCTCTCTGCTTCATTCACTCTTTTTATGTACCATTGCTCAATAATGGGATGCTTTTTATGTCAGGTTCTCTGTTTTTTCTTCCTTGTTTTCGTTTCTGTTCTCCTTAGAAGATTAGAGCAACTGCAAATCTGCAAGGGAATCAGTAGAACAGACCAATAGGCCATGGGGGTAATGCCGATTAGAAGGGTATCGTGTAGCGTGGACACTTGACTTAATTTTAAACTCTCCATTCATCAGGTTATCCACCTTTCATGAGGATTACGGCTCGTGTGTCGTTTGGAAATATTTAAAAAAAGTTCATTCTTCTATTTATTTACTTATTATTATTATTCGTTATGTAGCCATTGAGCTAACATTTTCGGGTAGTGGAGATAAATAGGCATCGCATTCATTGATGTTAGAGAGCTAACGTCCATCTAATGTATTTATACCAAATGGCAGGCGTTTTGATGGTTATCATTAGCCCTTTAGTTGACTTCAGGCTTCACAGAGGGAGAGGAACATCAAAGCGAAAAAAAGTCGAGAGGGGGGGGGAGGGGAACAGAAGAGTGTTTCGAAGATGTAAAAGAGACAGACACAAAGGTAGAAAAAAGGTGAGATGAGTGCTGTGGAAGTAGTCGAATATGACACACAGTGGGGTGATGGTAGTTTGAAGTGAGAAGTCAAATGCCAGTTAATAGACTTTTTGTCGTATGAGTATACGTTTGCCCAGGGTGCACCACGTGGAGGCGGGTCTATCGCACACCCCAATAATTTAAAATATTATTTGTCGGCGAAGAATTCATCAGCTAGCTATCAGTTCACAATATATTGTAAACAATGAATTTCAAGAGGGAGAGAGATCGAGAGAGTAAAAAATTGTTTGCCTTGTCAACAGCTAAACAAAGATCAGTAGTTGCAAGACCTTTGCGCACAAAGCCATGAAAGAAGAAGCGAATGCAATGGTTTTCTTTTTATATTCTTTGCTTTGGACAAGACGGACCCAGAAAATGACCAGGACCTGCCCGGTTAGACCGGTCACTGTAGTAGTGTGGGACTAGGCAAGGAGTAGGCTCTCTTTGACATATGAAGATATAGTTTGTCCAGTCGTCGCATCTATCTTGTTTCCCTACCAAATCTTTTACACCTGACCTATTCTAAACTGAAATCGAGTGGAGACACCTTTATATGTCCGCCAGTTCTTTTATTAAATAAAATTACGATAAAAACGGTTGGGTGGCAACTAGTACAATGACAGCGAACATTTCACAATGTGTGTGTGTGTGTGCGTTTGCTTCTTCAATTACATGTCTGAAACGATTATTGAATCAAAGACGAATAATTTATCCAAAATCAATGTTGATTTATTCAATCATGATGAAATAAATGACTTTTGTAATGGGATTTGATTGGAACAATCCTACACTTTCTCATTGAAAAGGCAATATTTCTGGATACAATACGTGTTATTGTCATTGTAGTCACTATCAAAATCACTGTCATCTCCAGTTATTGTAACAAGATCGCTTTCATATCCAGAGTCCTCGTGTCTCTATTTAAACATTCAATATCGATTTCAAACTCAAGTACCTCTATTTCAAAATCTCTTACTCCCAAAGCAAAGATAATAGTTTCGGCATCAGAGTCTCCACCATTTGACATGCCTGGAACAAACTTCTACTTGAATGTGCTTTGGTAACGTGTGTAGAGATTGCACGTGGTTATTTCAAACGGAATTGATTAAAACACAGTTTTCAGATCAAGCTCGTGAAACAAAACAATATGTACATGTGCATAGTACTAGTCTATGGCATTACTTTATTTTTGCTCAGTGATTTGATTATGACATCTTTAATTAGTTGACGACTCCCTATCTCAATCGGACCAAATGACTTAATTAACCTGTAATCATTAAAGTACGTTATGTCAGTCAATAGAAAACTGAGGACTTGAACGTAGAGCTAACTATCAACCACAATAACCGATGACGCAGCACTTGGAAGTACTTCGACCAAATTGGGTGAAAAGCAGGCCAACGAGAACCCAGGACCACAGACGCATTCATGTGGTACTTGGTGCGGAAATAGCAAGCGGTGGAAGATGTCTACTTCGGCTCGCTCCTTCAAATTTTAATCATTCCTAATCAGCCCCCCCCCAGTTACAAGTCCGTTCCAGACTTGTCTCTAACTCCTTATCTGAACTAATTTTCTCTTAAATCATTTGCTTGAAGTGGAGCAAACTCGCCCATTTTAGACCTCAATAGAGTTTTATTAGCTCTCTGAAGCGGCCGGGAGAGATAGAACCGCCAACTTAATTAGTGTCACTGGTCAGGAAGCTATGAACGTGATAAGGATGACTTAATTCAGAGCAAAGTTATTTAGAAAGAGGAAAGATCTGGCTAATGAAATAATTGAACGCTGGGAGAGGACGACGCGCAACTAGTAAGTCTTTCTTTCAATGCTCTAACTTTAAGTTCTGTCTTGCCCTCTATATCCACTCGTGAATAATACTACTACCACAATTTCAATCGGGTCTCCATTCATATTTTCTTTGAAGGTCAAAACCCAAGGGAAAATGCATTTCTGTCCGTTTTGTGTTTTTCCTTCTTCTCAAAAGCGTGGAAGATGGTCAATTACCGAGGTCCTTGAAAATTCAAATTCCTTATAAAGTTTTGAGTACAGCATAACATCTAGATTTAGAAAATGGCCAATAGTCCACTTGCTGGTGGAGGGGGGGGGGTTACGCTAATAAGGCAGAATATCAGAAACCTAACCGCTTTGTAACTTTGTTGGAAATTTCCAAATGTTACCAAACGATTTTTTTGTAAGAACCCTGAGTAAATGATTACTTTAAAGCCCATTACAAGTTGATTAAATTAAATGGCCAATTAATTAATTAATTAATTTGCGTCGTTTTAATTCCAGGAGGGTATAAAGTAGGTTCAACCTCACTAGATTTCAATCGAGGCCAACCATAACTATGGTTAATTGCAATGAGATGGGCTCCATGTCATCGACACTCATCTCATTAAACACAATTTTCACATTTTTGTCTTTGAAGGCATTCAAGTGGAAACCACAATTCCATTCTCGTTTTTTTGACTTACGTTGAAGGCAGATAAGGCATTCAAATTTTGATTTTTTTTCCTTGCTTATGCCACTTCTTCCATTCTTGGAAGAAGAAAAATAGAATATTTTCTGTGCGTTTGATCGAGAGCACTGAGAGTGCATTCTTGAGTCCGCCCCTTATGTACTGAACTATCGATTTATAGACTTTTACATTCAGACCACCAGTAGAGAATCCATCGTGAAAATATTGATCTTCATTTAGGCAATCATGTATCCCACATTCAATCTGTAGTGAAATGTAGTTTGACCTACTTTTTGTTTTCAGTGTCTGAATAGTCCTTGCACTAAAGTTGGCAAATGCACAAGTTAGTAAAGCTTATCCAATTATATAACCAAGATTTGCCTTCTTACTTGATGACGAAACCATACCTTCCTCATTGAGCATGTGTATAATAAACGTTAGTTGCCGGATTTAGACTCCGTAAGGAAAGATGGCTATATCTAACGAAATTTGCTGGCTCCGTGTGCACACATGGGATTATGATTTGGAGACTGAGATCATTATTGCTGTTTAGAGGGTCATGTATTTGTCTTATGTAATTGCACGTTCTCTAACAAATATTATAATGTTTCAATTGGTTGATGCTGGTTCCAACTTTCAAGTAGCCCAATTTAAACGCTGATCTTATATTAGCGCATACAGAGCAGAGGAAAAGTTGAAATTTTAATAGAGGAGAAGTTTAAGATCACTTGCTTGAATACGATTTAATGGCAGACAGTTTACAAAAGTGTCAGTTATTTGTAGGCTAACACTCAAGTGACATTCAAAATGGCATGACAATAATAAAGTAAACCAATTGCTGACCAACCACATACCTGTAAATCTGGAGCGGATCGATACACGAATAGGTTTAGGTGTATTATCAGTAATCACCATGGCAATTTATCATAGTACGGGTAGGATCCCAAAATGAGGTCAGCTACCTCAACAATATGGAGAAAACAAACGTATGACGAGTATGGAGTTTAGTGAAATAACTCTCACAGCAAACCTGTGACTTAACGTAACTTGAAAGAATATTAATTATTTGATTAGCTTCGAAGTCCTCAACGTGTACGATAGCACCCGCCAGAGTGTTCAAGTGGGAATGAAATTGCTTATCTTAACTGTGCTAGGATTGTGTGCTCCACAAAGTATCCATTTTGAAAATTTCACATTCTTTTACTCTATGTTAAATGTTAGTCCTTCGATAGGAAATCTTTCATTTAAATGCAACATTAAAATGCCATTTAAGTTTAAAATATGAATAGGTATGTATATTGTGCTCGTATTTTTCGAATCCCCTTTTGAAAGAATCTGCTATTGGCTCAAATGATTTTTAATTACTTTGCATTTTTTAATCGTTTTTTTCCACTTAGAATATGCTCACTTAATCTGAACAAGTGATAATGAAAAATGAGTGAGATCTTGGCAGTAAGTAGAATGTGGAAGAACCTTCAAATTTTGCTACCCATTTTCGGACGGTCAATCATACATTGTGGGGCCCCCACCGGGTATTGCCGCACTTAAGAAACTCCAAATTTTCATGTCGAAGGATCATCCCTTTTCTATCCAAAAAAACTTGGAGTGTTATCTTTCACTTTGTCATTTGGTCTTGAAACTACTCTTCAGTTGTGAAAGATTTGTCACTCTATGGAGAGTCCCAATGGGTAATTCCTGATCGGTCAGTTTCTGTCTAGGCTTAAGAGAAGAAATGGGTGCCTGATTAGTAGAAAACCATTGTTTTTTTCACCACTAACTGAACGCAGGCATCTTTTGGAAAATGAGCTATTTCCTATTGGTACCACCCGCCCCCCTAATTTTTAAATCCAATTATCGAACTCAAGCCAACCTGGAAATTACCGGTGAGGATCTGGTTAAGATAAATATTGGTTTGTATTCACTTGAAATTATGCATTATTTATCCCAATGTTATATAATACTACACATGTATACATATTTATTTATTTATTGATGTGGGTAAACACATAAAGTAAGCCCTTGATATTCTAACAGCCACTGCTTTCAATCAAGGCACCCCCTTCTAACATTTCACTACTCTTTTAAAAGACAGGGTAACAATTGCTTAAAAGCAGAATAAAAGTATATTTAACATTTCGATCTATTATATAGGCATGATGTCTTAAGACTGGATCAAGGGTATGATTTGCGCCAAGAATTAAATTAGCATCAAATTCAAAATTTTGTCTGAATTTCTTTATAAATTCTTCAAAATTCCTATAATTGGCAAGGATGATAGCGATCATGACATTTCGGGTTATTTATTTGCGAAAATTGACCGTTCTTGGGTGTAAGTGAAATGGCCCCCTATGCATTGAAAATTAGTAAAGAATTTTGTCAATAAATGTATTTTTGGGTACACTGAACCTGTAATAACAATTGACTGTTAGCTGAAAGAGAGATATCTGCATTCGTGACCTCATTTGCTTTTGAACGGGATCAGCAGCATGGTCGCACATGCCAGAATGTTCGAGCGCGTTGTGATTGCTAGTTTGATTGTATAAAGGTGGTGCACGTCACAACGCTGATGGTTTGATTAAAAGCTGGTCTTTAAGCAGAAAACTTGGAGCAAATGTTCCGCACTAAGTTTAATTTAACATCAAAAAATGCTAAAAGCAGTTAATTCAATAAATATAATTAGGAATATTCGATAGCGTAACACTTTTAGAAAAATAGCAAAACCGTTTATTTTTTTATTGACAAATGAAAACGGGATGAGTTTGAAAAATAACGCAAAATATATAAATTTGGTGTGCATGGGCATCGATGTAGATGAATCACACCATATACCATATGAATTAAAGGCAAATCATTTATTGAGTGATATACTTAGATGTGCAAATTTTAAATTTATATATCTATATTCAAAAATATATATGAATCAATAAATAATTGTGAATGTACAATAATTTCTTTATATGCGTCACTTAAACGTATTCAAGGTAAAGCGCCTGCAATTTACACGAAAAATGCTGATTGAAGTCGAGCTATTAGATGAAACGTTTTTACAAATAGACTTCAAAGTGGGATATTTTTAATAAATGATTTTTAGGATTTTAATATAAATTCTTTTATAAAAGCAATACTTATTTTTTTACGAATACCGGACTTTTCAGGAATGGGTGTAAATTATATAGATAATGAGTAAGTCATCATTATTTCTAATTTGTTTAGCGGCCATTATATGTGGTTACCATGTGATGGAAATTTTTATGATATTGATTTTCATAAGAAGCTACCGACTGTTGCATTATTTTTACGAATCAGGTTTATATATATAGATTTTGATAAATATTTCATAGATTTTTCGCCTCGAACATATTAAGTATCTACCCTGTTGAATCCGTCTTTCAATATTTTTTATATGGAGTATCTAGTTTAGCTAAGGTAATCACAACGAAATATTTTCAAGTATGATATAGCTGGAGTTACCTAAAGCAGTATTATTACAACTAAATCAGCTAAAATCGTATATCTTCACCGGCTCCCGAAGGTTAGTTTATAATTTACTTTTATAATTTCCAGTCATATTACGGCAATCGATGACCAAGATGGAAATTCGAAGTTAGGTATTTTGCGTGGATTTTCGGATTCAGATCTAACAAGTCGTGGTGAAGCCTTGTTAAGGTGCACCCTTATTGCACTTATTTATTTAGTTAGATTTCTTGAATTCCTCTACAAATTGCCTTGTTTCAATGGTCATATATACGAATTTGAAAATATTGAGAGTGGGAAAATATTTCTTATTGTAATTTTGCCCACTGGATTGAGAAGGTACCAAGTGGAGAAAGCCACACATGAAATCAGTGAAGATATCTTGATACCATGGAACAAAATGCGGTCGATTTTTGTAGAGGACAGCTATTTGTCTATCGAGCACATGCAGAAGCAACCGTGAGTGTCTCCATTTAAATTTTCTTTGCATATTTTGGTGAAACTTTTTTATCCGCCAAATTATCTGCAGACCTGATTGGAAGAACCAACTACTGACGACAAGTTGGTTATGTCCATCTTATTGGCATGCAATGAATTTGTGTGCCGAGGTCATACACCAACGTCTTTGGCACTTATCAGAGATAAAAAAGGATGACCGTCTCCACAATATTGAGGTTAGTTTACTACACTGTCTATTGTTTAAAAGTTTTTTTACCATTTTACATATTTATGGTGAAGTAAAGTGTTTTCATACCCTAACTCTTCTTTTTTTCATTCATTTTTTGAAAATCACCTCCAGTTATTCGTTAAATGGGCACAGCTAATTCTGACTTAACACAGATATTTGTTTAAACGTTTTCTTTGAAACTATTCGAGCTGCAGTTCGTTAGTTATCACCTTACTGGCATAATTCAATTACTTTCACATATTACTTTTTGTATAATCTCTAGCATTATTTAATCCTGTTGTTTTTTCATCATTGGCAATGGCTCAGGAGATGATGTCATTTGAGTAAAGTTACACAAAATATAGTTGAATGCAAGCATCTCAACGCATATAGCACTCAGCTTGGTGTCTTTGACTTCTTGGAATCTCGCGATAATACCTGCATATCATCTGACGATGGTTGGTCCTTCTGGTGAAGTGGAGGGGGGGGGGATGAATACTCTTATAAGGGGTTAAATGCTGCAATTATTCTGATTGGTTGGTAAAATAATAGGCTTGTTCATTGTGTTGACTTCATATATGCCGACAGATTTGATGGGTTAGCTACATTTTGCTCTGTTAATAAGCGTCGTTTATTAGTTGGACGCTTGTATTCGTTTCCTTCTCTCTATAAAATGAAAGGCAGAAGTAGTGAGTCTAATTTATTTGGACATGTATGTTATTATTAGCATTATGTCGGATCCATTACTATCTAAAATGGAAAGTTAGCTTTAGGAGTGAATAGAATTGTTGAAATTGAACTGCCATATTTTCTTTCAGCAGTCTTCAGCCTTCAATTTAGGAATATATTTATTACACAACGCACACACACGCACTTTCCAACCAGTGAACGCTTTGGAGTAATTTGATTATTGAAGACATTTAAGGCCTTAGATTTACTCGAGGTATGCCTACGCCTTGTCTGATTGGTTTTATTTACTATATTATTTATTTATTATAATGAATAGCAAGCGTATTTGATAGTTAACATTAGCTCTTTAGTTGACCTCAGGCTTCACAGAGAGGAAGGAACATCAGGGTGAAAAAAGTCGAGATGGGGGGGGGAACAGAAAAGTGGTTTGAAGGTGTTAAAGAGACAGGCAAGAAGGTAGGGAGAATAGGTGAGGTGTGTAATGCGGAAGTGATCGGATATGACATACAATGGGGCGATGGCAGTTTGAAGTCAGAAGTCAAATGCTGGTTAATGACCTTTTGCCGTATGAGTATGCGTTGCCCAGGGTGCACCTTGTGGAGGTGGGTCTAACGCAAACCCCAAAGAGAAGTCAGCAACACCAGGTATTCCCAGCCGGTCACCCATGCAAGTACTAACCCGGCCCGACGTAGTTTAACTTCGGTGATCGGACGAGAACCAGTGCTTTCTACGTATATCAGGACACACAATGCTAGGAGGCAGGCATCATGAGAACAATAGCGGATGGGATGAGTCAAACAGTATCCGTCAGAGCAAAAATATTCACAGGGGGTTAACAAGGAGAGCACGGAATCGATTGTTCTACTGAATTTCTTTTCAGTGATAACTCTTTTTATCCTTTTATTACACAGGAGAGTCCAAGAGAAGCTCGCGCTTGTCGAGCATTCGAGCTTTCACGATGGTTAGCGAAGCAATTTCCAGCTAAATCAAATCGGTGCACACCGTCTCGTGTTTTTGGTGGGAATGCTGATGGCGATGGTACTGAAAAGACCCCTCGAACTCGTCGTCGCGACGCTCGACGTGCAGCCCATCGAACGCAAAAGGAGATCTCCCATTCACATCATCCCGAGGACGTTGAAAATATCGATCCCTCCTTTTGGACTGCCGCTCAAATCGCCAGTCATTTCTCCCACATCACTGGAAGCGAAGCGAAGCGTAAGTTTCTGTTTAAACAATTTGGTTATTCTACTCCCAATTCCGCTGATGCGCTATCTCTGTCTGTCTGTCTGTCTCTCTCTCTCTTCTTTTAACTACCTGTCTTCACCTCACAATGAGATGGTGAAGAGAGCGACAAATGATTCAAAAAGAGATTTTGACGTGAGTGGGAACCCAATTTGGCAGATGTCCAATTTGGGCAAATGGATCATGACATATTTAAATTATATTCCATATACTATGAATGATGAACTCGAAACAGTACCTCACTGGGGTGAAGGTGTGCTCGGTTAAGGAAGCATGCTAGATAACTTCTACAAGCACTTCGGTCTCCATATGAAGTGAAGGTAATTGGAGACTCTTTATTACATTTTTCTTGCTAAACTTGCTTGCTCCCAATCCTCAAATAGAAATGAACTATCCGCGTGTATTGGTACGATGGACATCATTCTTGTGATCTCCGTCCCATCGGCACCTCGCCAAATGAATTGTATGCGGTGAAAAAAGATCTTTTAACCTTTAACAAATCCTTTCTAATCAGTAGTGCTGATTATTCTTATGTCGAGCATAATCCCATTTGAAGTATTTATTTATTTCAAATGGCAGGCGTTTTGATAGTTATCATTAGCCCTTTAGTTGAATTCAGGCTTCATAGGGGGAAGGAACATCAAAGTAACAAAAAGTCGAGGGGTGGGGAACAGAAGAGTGATTTACAGATGAAAGAGACAGACATGAAGGCAGAGGAAAGGTAGGATGAGTACTGTGACAGAAGTCAATCGCCAGTTAATAGACTTTTTTGCCGTATGAGTATGCGTTACCCAGGGTGCACCACGTGGAGGTAAGTCTATCACGCATCCCATTCCATTTGAAGTCAACGTACGTCAACTGTCCATAAGTGCACGTGCTCTTAATTGTCATGTCCTGTAAATTTGGCTGATGGCTGGAGATGGTCTGCTGCTACTGCTGGGGGTGGG